AACGCTTGAATTTTCAGAGAGAGGACATCCTTTCTTCCAACCAGAAGCCGTATGTTTTACGAGCCGTCAACACTTCTCCATATGAAGATATAAAAAGAACAATATGATAAAGTTGTCGACTATACAACGAAATATTTTGACAATCCCGACAAGAAGACATCGTATATAACAAGAATGCCGAGAACCTGGTGAGGTAGTATAAACTACAACCATTGTAATCTCTCTGTCTCTTGTGTGTTAGGAAGATTCATAAACTGTAATCTTGATTTATTTTAATTTCGTTTCATTACATATTTTTGTTTTGTTATTTAAAATATTGCCTCTTCAATGACTAAAATCTATGCCTATGTCCACTCCACGTACTTATGTCCCTCCAGCTCGATATTCGTCGTTTTCGCGTGTTAATCTGCAAATTAAATAGATTAACTAGTGTCAGGAAAAACAACTTTCAGGGGATCTCACAAACGTCTGGACTTAAACCTTAGGACATCATCCATTGATGTTAGAGATCAGATCTCACGATCTAAGTAGAATAATTGGTAAGACAGGATTAACCCTGGACACCCTGTTTATCTCACATATTTATCATGATACCCCTATTGGAAGTCATCTAGGAGTACAAAAGATGCAACAAAAATTTCGATCACTATATTATTGCCAAACAATTAAATTAACAAAGATATAAAAACCTATTGTCAAGGCTGTCAACGATGTGCTTTACAAAAAAGAAAAGAAAAACGAAAAGAAGCTGACATATGACTATTATCTTCCTTGACGTACTTATTTGAATGAACTGCTATGGATATCATAGATCCTTTACCCATCACAATGAATGGAAATTAGTACATATTAGTCATTATAGACCAATTTTGTCGATATACCGAAGCTATATCCTAACCTAACATTCATAGTAAAATCATAGCTAAGGCTTTTGTTATCAACATTGTTTTAAGACACTCTACACGTATCAACTGCTTACAGATCGTGCTCAAAACTTACTATCTAAAAAGTTCAAGGAGGTATATAAACTACTCCACATTAAAAGACTGCTCATGACAGCATATTATCCTGCATGTAATGAAATATTTCAGAGATTTAATAAAACTCTCATCGACATTAGATTGCACTATGTTGAAAAGATCAACGAGACTGAAACAAATGGATCCCTTATGCACTATTTTTCTATAATACGGCTGTTCACGTCTCTATGAACGCTAGTCCGTTTTTCTTACTATATGGACGAGATCCAACTTACCATTTTGTACTTGTCACTCATTAAACTCGGACCGAATACGATATAAGTGATAATTTCGCATCAGAACTACACCTTCGAATGGCTATCAGACATCAGATAGCACAAGAACATGCAAAACAAGTTGCTAAAGAATGCCAAAATCAACATCTTAGAATCCATACTCTACTCACATTTCAAGATGGAGATTGTGCTTGCCTTAATGAAGTAGTTGTTCCTCAAGTGTTAAAAGAAAACTCGAACAGAGATGTTCAGTACCATTCCGAATTGTAACCAAACCCAGTCCCGTCATATTTATCGAAAACTTCCAAACAAAAAGCAACTTCAAGTTCATGCTAATTAGCTCTAGGTGAGTCGCATGGGTCTGTCAGATCCAGCGCGAACTTTAATTGACATTTTTTTATATTAAACATTTTTTTAAATCTGAAAAAATTAGTATTTCTCTACCTTTCTATCCCAATCAACATGCTGTTAAAACCTTTTGCATAGCAACGCTCATTTTTGAGAAAAAAAATACTTTGAGTCTGATAGACGCAGGCAACTCACGATGTAAGTAAAAAAACACCAATTAAATCATTGCCGTTGCCGATAGTGAGTGTCGCAATACCTTTATCGTGTTTAATTTGTTGCGCAGTATCTATTAAACCCTATAATATCGTTATTTATTTAAATTTTTTACTTTGTTTGGTTTTTGTTATAATATTGTTTTCAAAAGTGATGTCTAATTAATTTTTAATTATTTTAATTATTATTTTATTTTTATAATATAATTTTTATTTGTCACTTTTATAATTATTTTCCATTATTAATTGTATATTAGGCGATGCAAGTTAAGTTTTTGGTTACTGTCGCTGATTGGTTACTAAACGTGAAAACGTTTAGTAACCAATCAGCGACTTCTGAAAACAGTCTACTTGTAAATTGTCTAGAAATATCTCACCCCCTCAGCAATGATCTCGGAAATCGAATGTAAACAATCGTGTGAAATTTAGGGTGTCCTTTTTATTTTTTCTTTATTTTGTTGAAATTGTGTAAATTCTTAAATTTAATAAAAAAATCTTATAAAAGAAAAATTTTCTTTAAACTTAAAAGAAAACCGCTGTAACACACTTACCAACCAAAGAAAGTTGAATTTTCTTTCTCCTACCCCTTATCTCAAAAATTTTATTTACCATACTAAAGTTCAATGGAAGTGTAATAGAAAATAAAAATAAAATTAATTATCTAGACATAACTTTATACCGGGAAAAACACTCTCGATATAAAACTTTACAATAAACGCAGCAATGTAAATAAAATTCTTAANCAGCATTGTAAAAAAATTCTTAATTATAAATCGTATAGTCCTATAACAATAAAAATAAATAATTTTATAAAAGCACTTGCAAAGATATGGAACAGAACATCTAAGGTAGAAGAAAAAGAAAAACAAAAAATAAGTTAATAAATACTTTTATTTTGAACGACTATCCAAACAGATTACTAAAAAAGTGGACAACTGCATATATAAAAAACAGTTTCAATGTTAAATATAAAAATGAAAATACTACATATAAATCATTCCCTATATTAAAAAAACATTCGAAAAATATAGAAAAGTTTTCAGAAAGCATGGTGTTACACTAGCAGCCAAATTCAAAAATAGAATTAAAAACAACATTCATACCAATAAGATTAAAAATAACGAATAAAAGAACATGAAGCAGCAATTTGACTTAATTATAACCAGTCACCATGGACAAATCACTGTGACAGATTTGGATGCACAATCAATAAAAAATTTGTAAAAATAATCCACAGGAAAAAACAGTTATCTACGAAAATTCAAAGGGCACTTCGCAATTGTTTATGAAAACAAAACCATAAACCTAAATAATAGCTCGGAGGTTAACGACGTGTGGGAGGAAATGGGAGGGGACAAAGAGCAAGGAAAACAGAAAAAAGAAAGACAGTTAAAAATGTCTAAGGGGATACAACATCAACACCGTGTAGCTGTATGTCTAAACATAAAACAGGTTAGTCCACAATTATGTAAATACTAGCTGTTATCCGCGACTTCGCCCGTGGAGGTTTTGCAAGCAAACCCCATTTATATTCAGTATTTCAACAACCGTAGTAATTGTTATATAACACCTACTGCCGAAAATGATGAGAATTGCTGAAAATCAAACGAACTATTTTCAATTTGATCAATTTTCTGGAACGTTTACACTCGTTCTATAATCGAACCAATATACAATAACAAATTCGAATTTATAAAGGTTCGAACATTTGATTAAAAAATCGAAATATATATAAATATTTATAACAATGTCTGAAAGGTTATTAACTTAATGCACTTAAGTACTTAAAGAAGACTAAACGTAACAAAAAATCGCATTTAAAATAGTAGAAGCCATTCTTCCGGTTAAGCCTTGATGCTTTCCCTCTCCCCCCGTGGGAAGATTTCGAAAAATTCCTTCTTAATGTGCGTTTTTATGACGTACCCTAACTGTGTACCAAATTTCACCTCTTTAGGTTAAGCGGTTTGCTCTGGGCGATGATGAATCAGTCAGTGAGTCATTCATTTAGTCACTCAGTCAGGAAAAGCAATTTTATATATTTAGATTTCCAATTAACGAAAAATATAATAATTGTTGTAAATAGTAAATTGTAAAATTGTAACTTAACCGTAATAATCAATGTAATAATCGGATTTTTACCAATTTATAGAAATGTAACACATGATCAGGGGTGCAAGATACACAAAATATTGCCCCTGAAAAGCATAGTGAATAAAGAATAACGAAGATAACACTCAGAAGTTTTTGTCTCTGGTAAAATGTGGTCCAGACAAAAAACGTCGGTTAACTTCTTCGGATCTAACCTATGATGTTTCATCATTTTTAAAAAAATAACTTTTTAAAAAAATTGACATTCAAAAGAATTTTTTTTAAGTTTTCGTATGGGATAATGAATTGCCAATTATATGAACTCTTATTTGACTAGATACATATACTTGTAAGAAATAAAAAGTAGCTGAAATATGCAATCATTCCAGCACACTAACGTTTCTGCAGGCTATACAATCAACCCGAAGAGCTATAGATACATGAAATTACCTTTAGACTAAATAAGGCATACCTAATTCTGAGACTAACAGCAGTATCCACGGGTACAGACTATATAGTATTGTCTGCAATATTTGAAAACAATACAAATTAGGAATTTAGCGAAAGTAGAAAAATATACGGAAAGCCTGCATTTTCTAATAATTCTGACTTTTGATTTGCCATCATGTAAGAGAATTTAAATTAAGACTAAAAAAATAAAACATTGAATATGAACGATTCTGAAAAGTAGGGTATACAAAATTTTTTTATTGAATTATGCATAAAATATAATATTTTGTTGTTCCGTAAATTAATTAAAGCCACATAAAATCATTAAAACAGTAAAAATATTATATTAAACGATTATATGAGAAAAGCCTATCAAACCATGATTGTCATCAAATCGATTTGTCGTTCACTCAGCAGACAATTCTTACAAACTGTTTCCATTTAATTTCATTTTGAAATAATCAGTGTTGCTTTAAAAGAGATCTGACTGATCATGCTTCATTGCACTTTCTCTTGTCAGAATTACCTTTGTTTGTTATTCTAAAGTTGTTAATACTGATTCAGCCATTATAATAAATACACAAAATATATTGGTTTACGTATGTACATTAAATGTATTACTGTTTAAAAAATTATTTTCAACTTACGTTCTGGAATTTGCCGACGTCGTTAGCTAGAAGATTTACCATTTGTCCCACATTTGATTTTTCCAGAGAAGAAGAACTTAACCTAATTGCCTGCATATGAAGGTTTCATATAAAATAATATTTTCCCAAAATTATATAAGATATTATATATAATTTATAAAAATACAAGTATAATTATCAGTAAATTCTGTAAAGAAACTAATAAATTAACTTTTTTAATACTTGTTTACTCACGCAATTTGACAAAATTAATTTTATTACGCAAGAATGTATTTAAGTAATGGATTAAATTTAGAAACTGATATATTTTTTATTGAGATATTTGTTTCTATAAATTTGGATTTTTAAAATACCTCAACTTCTAGCACTCAAAACAATTTTTATTGCTAAAAATAATAGTTATAAAATTAAATTAATTGCACTTAGTACTTGTTCTGAGAAATTTGTTTTTCATTCGTTGTGTGTCTATGGCAAATGTGTTTCAGGCACTTTTTACAAGATTTTATGTATTTTTTGTCTTTTATTCTTTGACATAAAAAGCATTTTTTTTTTCAAAAATACTTTTAATAGCATTCCTTGTTGCTATTCCTTTTTATTCCGTTTGAACTGTTTCTCTTGAAATTACTCTCACTTGATTGCATTCAAAGCCAAATAATTTTTGTTTTAATACAGAATTGCTATGTAAACCTTGGGAATGTTCAATCTATATTTCATGTTGATCTCGCATAATAATTTGCCTAGATTCTTCAAAAAATCTTTTGACCTTATGCATGTTTTGAAAATTTTTTGGCCAACGTTTCATTTTCCTCACAATATACCACATACGAATTATTAGCGACTAGATCGATCAAATAAAAAAAATAGCCAATGGCCATTTTGTACCATGCCGACAGCTGTATGTTCTTGTACATTTGTCAAGTGTATCAATTGTATCTACACTTAATTTTTTAAAATTGTAATAATAATTAATAACCTTTGCCTTCTACCTTAATAAATACACTATTAAATACATTTAATAAATACACTACATACACTTTATAGCTTCTACTATAGTGAGGACTGCAATTCCTCAAATCAAAATAATATAAAATTCACACTGAAGCAACAATACATCATGCAGCATCAGATATTTTTTTTATAGGAACCACTATAATTTCTGAATTTTTGTCAAATATACTCCAAAGTTTCTACAAACCGTAAGGAATAATAGTAAAATAAAATTCAAATTCCAAAATTAATATTTGTCTATAATATAAATAAAGATATGAGATGGGGTCACAAGATAACTCCCACATCTGCATGTGACTGTTAAAGCGGAGCGTGTAATAGTTTTCCATATAGTTTTAAATATTTAACAATATTTTTAATTTATATTGCCATTTCTGTCCTCCTATTTATTTAATTAAACGTATATATCATAAAACCTATTAATTGAAATAACTATTGAATGTTGCTTAATTGATTAATTGCTGTTATTATCACTTCCATTGTAAAGTCCGAGAAAGCACTTTATATATATCCGTTGACAATTGACCATTATTCAAGACAAAATGACCTTTAGAAAATTTAACTGTTCAAGAATTTAGCTATCTTTCCAAAGTATTTTTTGAACTATAATCTTCTACCTCCAAACTAGTTGATTGTTTGCCAAAATGTTTTAGAATTGTTACATGTCACCAGTCTTCTATTTATGTTTTCAAAAATAAAATTATTTCTTTTTTTTGACATAAATGTCTGCAGTCTTTTAAATAATATTATATAAAACATAATATTCATTTGTATATGACGTTGTAACCTTCTTAAACAATTTCCACAAATCTTTCCCCAAGATGTGATACTCATTATTATACATTTATTTGTTGCATGTGTTTTACCTGGTACAGGATTAACGTCATAAATTAAGTTCAAAGAAGACATCGCAGCTTAAGCTCTACCTTCTACTAGATCATCAAGTGTAAGAGTTCTTCCATACTAATTTGATAGGACATTACCTAATCTAACAGATAATTAAGATTTAATTTCATATGTGTACATTGCACGTTTACTTAAAAGTTGTCTGTTAAAAATGCAAATTGATACCAATTAGATAACTGTTAGTAAAACTTGTAAATAATCTAAGCTACTCTCTGCTAAAACATTTAAATTAATTACAACACTAAAATATATACCGTATTTTGTGATACTATCACAAAATCAATTACATTTACTCCTTTTGTTGAGTGATAGCAGAAATAATTAGTAGTAGTATGCGTTTGATACATTCTGGGGTACAAAATTAATTAGTATTAATTAGTATATAAATTATATAACACAACTTTAAAAAAATCTTTTTGAATAATATCCAAATAAAGATCGATACAGTATAGATTATATTTAATTTGTATAAGAATTTAATATAAATTAATAATACAAAATCGAATTAAAACGATAACACAACTTTTAAAAAATTTGATTCGGAACTCGCGCCCTCTGCTGTACAAGTTCGTACCCTGAACTAACTCCTGTGGACCTGCATTAAGTGCTTTGTCCAAACGGATAACAACATGTTTGCTTCACAATGTGAGTTTTTTTTATCTGCAGATAATATATGATTTGAGTTTAAAAAAACGATTTGTTCTTAAAGAAAAATATGATTGGCTGTTAGTTTTTAAAAAAGATATGATTGGTTAGTATTTTATATAAGTTACTTTTTTAAAGAGAATTAGTTTTATATTTAAGCTGCGATCATGGGGATGTACTGTTTTTTGGTTACATACAGAGACTATAAAATATACTCATCTTCTACAATTCTGTACTGTACTTTGGATGCTTGCGTTTCTGCGGTAAAAAATTTTTCGTTTGATGTTCCCGATAATTTTCCATCTATCCTTTGCTATTTCAAAGTCAAATATATTTAATAAGAAAAAGGAAAATACAGTTTTATAATTGTTGGCAAGGATGGAGGAATTAACAATGTATATAATGGATTATACAGTTATTTCGAACAGTGTGCAGAAGACATGAGAGAAATATGTTTAGAAAATAATAAGAAAACTTTAGTAGTGTTTACAGAGATAAGTCCAGGAATGAAATATTATAAATTTTCGAAATTTTCTAAGGTTGACAAGGTTGATTTATATGTATTTCAAACATCCCAGTACTTGTGTAATTGCTGGACCTTCCCAATCTGGAAAAAACACATCGGTGAAAAAAATGATTAACAACAAAATATATGAAAATCCTCCGAAAAAGATTTTATGGTGTTACTCTGTATAATTTTTTTTTTTCAAAAAAGGATATTACATTTATGTATGGCTTACCCGAATCTGTTCAAGGATGGGATTTGATAATAATCGATGATCTAATGCACGAACTGTCTCCAAAAATGCTGTTTTTGGAGACAGTTCGTGCATCAGATCATATTCACACTTACATCACTGTAATGTAAGTGTGATTTTAACCCTGGGCTAGTGCAGTGGGGTGTTTCGCCACCCCCAATGTTTTAAAAGTTGCACTATTCATAGATTTCGCAAGAAATATTTGTGTCCTCTTCAGTAGCTTCATGATTTTATGTATAGAGCATGCTCAGAAATTACTACGATGCTGCAGAAATTCCAGTAAGAGAAAAACAACAGTTTTCAGTAGGGTGTCCAAACACCCCACAGTATTAATTACGTTTTTTTTAAATTTTACAAATATTTATTTAGTTTTTTTTATTTTAAAAATAACTATAATGTGACCACATTTATTATTTATAATATAGATATAATAATCAATGTGAATAAAAATAATTTAAGTTTATTTTAATTCAAAATGGCTGACTTTCATAAACACATTGAGAAAATACCAAACATAGCAAGTTGCTTGTCATTTGCACTGAGTGCCAAAGTACAATGTCAGCTATTGAATCAGAGTGACAAAAATGCTTAAAAAACAATTTAGATTTTTACTATTGGTTTAATAATAAGATCTAATGTAATGAGTTTTGATAAATGTTGTTTTTTATTTTCGTAGATTTATGTACTAATATAATATGTAATCATACCTGAATATAATCATATGTATAATGACACATGACTTTACCAAATAAATGAGTAAATCTTTATGAATTTTTACTTACATGGTTTATGGACCCAAAAAAATGTCGGGGTAAACAAACGCCCCACTGCACTAATGCTGGAAAAAAACTCAGTGCACTGACGCAGGGTTAATAATGCAAAATTTGTTTCCCAAAAAATAAGATTATGAGAGATATAAGTTTAAATACATATTATTTGATATTATTTTAAAATAATTGTGATTAGAGTCAGGTGAATTTTTAGGTCGTCAAGCTATGGCGGGAAAACTTAATTTTTTATGGATGCATATAAAAAAGAGACAGAAAAGAAATTTGGTTATTTGTTATTAGATTTTCATCCTAAAACAGATAAGAAATTTTTTGTGAATGATTCTTGTTTTCCTGATAAACAAAGTACTTTTTGGATTTACTTACTGGTAAAATGAGAAATGTAAAAAAAAATTATCATATGCTAGCACTTTTAGCGAAGACTACTCCTTCCCAACGATCAGCGATATTGACAGAAGCTACTTCAAATCATGTTAAAGTTCTGTGCAAAATATGTGTTAATTTGTAGAGAGGAAATATATCTGCTGATGTTTGTAAATTACTAAAATATTAAAAAATTATCAGGAAATTTAGCGAAAAACACATTCCTTTAAATATCAAGAAAAAAATTTTGGTTAATAAATCTGGTGGATTCCTTCCTCTTCTACTGGTTATTGTCTATGGCAGGAGAGTTAATCGGTAAAGTAATAGGAGAAAGAATCTAATGGCGAAGCAGATGGCTTTAGTTCCTTCCGAATTACTGATGAGTTATGAAAAGCATGAAATAAGAATTGGTTATAATATCAAAGAATTACTCGAGAGTACAAATTTACCTGATGACGATAAAATCAAGTTATTAAGTCAATTGATTTCGAGATATCAGAGAACCGTTCATGCTCCTAAAAAACCTGTCAGAGTATCAGTCGTATCTAACCAAAATGAAGAAACAGAATCTTAATCGAAAGAAAAATCTGATGATGATGATGACGACGAATTTATGAAACAA